GATAATGTTGTCTCACACTGTCACAAAGGTACTGTTGTCTCACACTGTCACAAAGGTACTGTTGTCTCACACTGTCACCTGGTACTGTTGTCTCACACTGTCACCATGTAATGGTGTCTGACACTATAACCAGATACTGTTGTCTCACACTGTCACCATGTAATGGTGTCTAACACTGTCACTAGGTACTGGTGTCTCCCACTATCACCAGATACTGTTGTCTCACACTGTCACTAGATACTGTTGTCTCACACTGTCACCAGATACTGTTGTCTCACACTGTCACCAGATACTGGTGTCTCACACTGTCACCAGGTAATGTTGTCTCACACTGTCACCTGTTAATGTTATCTCACACTGTCACCAGATACTGTTGTCTCATACTGTCACCAGATAAAGTTATCTCACACTGTCACCAGATATAGTTGTCTCACACTGTCACCAGATACTGTTGTCTGACACTGTCACCAGATACTGGTGTCTCACACTGTCGCCAGGTAATGTTGTCTCACACTGTCACCTGATAATGTTGTCTCACACTGTCAGCAGGTACAGGTGTCTCACACTATCACCAGATACTGTTATCTCACACTGTCAGCAGGTACAGGTGTCTGACACTGTCACCAGATACTGTTGTCTGACACTGTCACCGGGTACTGTTGTCTGACACTGTCACCAGATACTGTTGTCTAACACTGTCACCAGGTACTGGTGTCTCCCACTATCACCAGATACTGTTGTCTCACACTGTCAAGTAGATACTGTTGTCTCACACTGTAACCAGATACTGTTGTGTCACACTGTCATCAGGCACTGTTGTCTCACACTGTCACCAGATACTCTTGTGTCACACTGTCACCAGGTACTGTTGTGTCACACTGTCACCAGATACTGTTGTCTCACACTGTCACCAGGTACTGTTGTGTCACACTGTCAGCAGGCACTGTTGTCTCACACTGTCACCAGGTACTGCTGTCTCCCACTATCACCAGGCACTGTTGTCTTACACTGTCACCAGATACTGTTGTCCCTCATTGTCACCGGATACTGGTGTCTCAGCAGATCATGCTGCTTCACGTATGTTGTACCTTGTAAGACCTACAAGTCAACAGGAATGTTAAACAAAAAAAACAAAAGTGTAGAAAACGGTATGTTAGATGTTGACATGCATATTAATGTTTTATGTAAATTAATATGTTTTTGAGGTTTGCGCTAAGGTGCACGTGCATATATATGTGTATATGTAAAAAATATCTATAATAGGCAATCATATCAGCACGTTGTCATTTTTTCTCTTTATGCCAGTAATTGATCCCGTCAGTACCACATGTGGACATCACTCATCATCCGAGCTGAAATAAACACAATTAAGATGTCTAAAGATACAAGAGTCAATGTTCTCGCCCCACGTAATGAACGAATGCTGACATGGGGAAACATTGGTACACATCTTGCATTGCTTTTCTTTTAACTAGTGCATTTGTGTAACGATTGTAGTAATCACCTAGCCCCAATGAATTCCTGTTTATCTTTCTGCTTATCGTGTTGCTGACTCTTGCATACTGTTATATAACATGCACGAGGGCAAAGACATAAAACAAAAGAAATACTGATGTTTTTGATAAGCATACAAATACGAAGAACCGCGGTTGATGAAAACTAAAACGTTGTTGAAGACGGACATGTGATAATCCAAAGAACGTTATGAAGTAGTGCTAACACTGCTCAAATACCGTCCCGACGACGCGCAGATGACTCTCGGTTGGCGCACCGTGACGCTCTGGTAAGGCTATTGTTACGCTCCGCTAACGCGATGGTGGCGCTCCGTTAACGCTTGTAAGTCTCGGAATTCTGATACGCAGCTGTAAATTAAACACAATTTCAAAAGTCAATATATACAGAAAACAGTGTTGTAGCTATGTAGGCTGATTCCACGAACTATGACTAGTCATACATAAGCCAGGAGTAATCACGTAGCCTTCTATCACATGGAAATGACATGAATATAAAATCTTGCATCACATTACGTCTTCATGATTTTGTCATCCAAATGCGTCAGGCACAAAACAAAGGCTATTGTTACGCTTCGCTAACGCGATGGTGGCGCTCCGTTAACGCTTGTAAGTATTAGAATTCGGATACGCAGCTATAAATTAAACACAATTTCAGGATGTGTTTAATTTACAGCTGCGTGCCTGACGCATTTGGATGACAAAATCATGAAGATGTGATGCAAGATTTTATACTCATGCCACTTCCATGTGATAGGAGGCCACGTGATTACCCCTGGTTTATGTATGACTAGTCGGAGTTCGTGGGATCAGCCTATATAGCTACAACCCAGTATTCTGTCCAAGCTACACGTCATTAAGCTGATTTGTTTGTTTGTCGTTGTTTAACGCCACACTCAGCAGTACCGAGTCTGAACCAGACATTCCATTAAGCTTGTACCAATGCGTGTTCACATTGCGTAATACACATCCTACAAGTTTACTCGTACTCATTCTATAATGACGGATCGAAGCACACATCTTACACAAACACCATGTGCAGCAAGTTTATCTCTTGATTCCCCTTTTAAGCTATTTCAGCTGTGTACCCCGTACATTCGCTGCTAAATATATTCAAACTATAAAAAACACGAAGTGGAAATTCCGCATATTCCCTATCCTGCCGAGCGAGCCACGATTGATGGACCTCTGCTGATTAATTGGTGTTTGTTTAATTACGTCACCATTTGCTCATTTGACCGTATCATCTGAAAATATATGGATATTAATTGAATACCTTGAACACTTCAGTGAGTGCCCGACTTTACAGACGCTAGTCGGAATTATGATGTCTTACAGACTACCGTGTTAGGTGAACATGTTTACATTTTGATATCCAGGTTCTGAATTAACGTCAGTAGCATTCTCAATTATGGGATAGTCATGTGAAAGACATAATGCAATAATTCATGAGAAATGCTAAACATTATTAATTTAGGCGCTTCTTCGCATATTTTAAACGCCTGACAAATAAACACAGGATAGACTGCGCGCTAGATTTTCACTCACCATTAATGACCAAAATGAGGCCTGGGAATTGTGATCAGTTTTACCGTAAAGCCATGGCGCGATTCACCTAGCGAACTTTGTGATGCTTTTATGTTACTGTTGTTTTGTTGTTGTTGTTGTTCAGCGATATTCAAAATATATAACAACAGACTGTAAACAATATCGAGTCCGAACCAGACAAACCAGTAGTTGATATTATGAGCAAACGTACGTCCCATGCCGTCGGGGTACGATGACCACCATCCTTCAACTATGTTACCAAGTCTGACCACCTGATTCATTGAGGATGATGAGGACGTTCTACTCAGGAATCACCACGAGGTTAATGTAGTACACTGTCGGGCAAACGAAAGTATACCCTTTAAAAATGAATTTGGACCCCAAACAACAATCGTATCAAAGTGTTACTAGACTGAAAACAGTCACCAAAATAGTGCTTACTTAACTTACAACATAGAACTATGATACCCGAATTAAATACTTCAACATCGAATAACCATTCCTGTTTGTTTTAGTCTTAATCATCAAACATGGTACTGTCTTGTGGCCTGCAGTTTAATAAAGAGCTACCACTTAGATTGCTTTGTGGATCTTGTTACTTGTTTGTTCGTCAAACATTGATGGAACAATAGTAACATCTTCAGTACAGAAGCTGTGCAAAATATATTCAGAATTGGAATAAATAAATGCTGAATCTAATTCCTTTCAGAATAAGCTGATATCATATGCATACGGCATCAGTTTGGATTCCTTGTCATCTTTGTATACCTCCTAGTGTTATGTTATTTCCTCCATGCCTAGAGCCTCTGCACAGATAAAAAATATGGAGAGAGTAGGCCCCCAGCATAAATGAGACACAGAAACCACGCATTGGACATGCCAAAAACAATTATATGTCACTTTCACCAGGAAACCTTCCAGTGACGAACCTTCTGTATTGCAAATGGTTCACGTACTGATCATTTTATTTTCTCAGTTACATAAACGAAAAAAGTAGGTAAGACATTGGGCGTCATTTTGTTGAGGAAATATCTTAATTTTCATCTTTTTTTGGTTACTGGGTTAGTAAATCAATTATATTACCTACAATAAATGCAACAATTAAGCCCTGATAGTCCTTCGTAGGCTTCTTGTCAGATATAAACAAGGATTTGATATACATGTTTCAGTGAGACTGTTTTGCCAAAATGTCAAAACATATACGAATCTGAGATTGTAACGATCTTGATAGATGTAAAATAATTCTCGGATTTCAAAGATCGTATCTACATAACTTCTATAAGACTTGTGTTGGGCTTATGTTTGGAATGTAAGCACATCTGGGCGTAATAGAGAAAGGCAATTTAGCACATAATTCGTGCTGCATGGTGGATTTATGTGAGAGCAATAATAGACTGGCGCACCAAATATCCCTGTTAAAGACTGCCCCGACTCTGCTGCACAGTCGCAGTATCGCCCAGCTCTACATGGGGATGGATACATTCCCGCTTGGCGCCACACCACATTTTGTTTTCACGTTTTGTGTCACGATCAAGACTGGATGTTTTATGGAGCTATTATAAAAAGTTGTGTTTGTTTTATTCTATGGTTAATTTCAGATACAGTGATGTGTCTATTTCTTTTGGAAGGCCAGCTGTCTGCATCAGCTCTACAGTATCAGCCAGTTTACAGTTAAAGTCATCTTCAGTACATGTTCTCCACTGGTCTACAGTACATGAACTCGACATAGGTACAACACATGAACTCGACTTAGCTACAACACATGAACTCGACTGATCTACAGTACATGTTCTCCACTGATCTACAGTATATGAACTCGACTTAGCTACAACACATGAACTTGACTGAGCTACAGTACATGTACTCGACTGAGCTACAGTACATGAACTCGACTTCGCTACAACACATGAACTCGACTGAGTTACAGTACATGTACTCGACTTAGTTACAGTACATGAACTCGACTGAGCTACACTGCTGGTCCTCGACTGAGCTGCAGTACATGTCCTCGACTGAGTTACAATGCATGTCCTCGACTGAGCTAAAGTACATGAACTCGACTTCGCTACAACACATGAACTCGACTTAGCTACAACACATGTCCTCGATATAGCTACAACACATGAACTCGGCAGAGCTACAGTACATGTCCCCGACTGAGCTAAAGTACATGGCCTCGACTGAGCTACTGTACTTGTTCCCGACTGAGCTACATTGCTTGTCCTCGACTGAGCTACTGTACTTGTCCTCGACTGAGCTATAGTTCATGTCCTCGACTGAGCTACACTGCTTGTCCTCGAATGAGCTGCAGTACATGTCCTCGACTGAGTTACAATACATGTCCTCGACTGAGCTACAGTGCTTGTCCTCGACTGAGCTACTGTACTTGTCCTCGACTGAGCTACAGTGCTTGTCCTCGACTGAGCTACTGTACTTGTCCTCGACTGAGCTACAGTACATGTCCTCGACTGAGCTACTGTACTTGTCCTCGATTGAGCTACAGTACATGTCCTCGACTGAGCTACAGTACATGTCCTCGACTGATCACTGTACTTGTCCTCGACTGAGCTACAGTACATGTCCTCGACTGAGCTACAGTACATGTCCTCGACTGAGCTACAGTACATGTCCTCGACTGAGCTACTGTACTTGTCCTCGACTGAGCTACAGTTCATGTCGGCGAATCGTATGATTATGGAAGTGGTTATGTCGCTTCTATTTACAGAACCGATCCTATGCCTTACCAGCCTCCATGTTGGAAGAGATTCATTTTCATTCAAACACCTTTGTGTCGAACTTTGATGCGTCGAACTTATGGTAGTCTCGAAGTAAAAGCATAGTCCATGTATATTCTGTCTTTATTCACCATTTTCGGTTGTGTCTAGCCTCGAATAACTCGAAGCATTAAGGTAGGCCCCGTCAACTTCGAAACAACGGTGTTTGAACATATTCATAATAACGTGTTGATTTTCACACGGTATGATTTGTGTGGATGGACGCTCTTTCTTTGCTTAATTGTATAACAGTAACTGGTGTCCGTCCTTCCTTCACCGACATGCAGGCGGATGGATCCCCCTTAATAACGGAACGTTAATAACATACGCTTTTGACTGAAATAATGCGTGATGAAATTACGGATTTTTCGATTGAATTAATCGTGAAGTGCAGAGTCTAGGGGACATTAAATATGACGCTTGTGGGTTATTTGTGACGTGGTTTGACGCTCTGTGTGTGGACAATGTTTGATGCCTTCTGTGGTTTACCGACAATTTGATTGTGGTTTAATACCACAATCAGCAATATTCCAGCGCCGGTCTGTAAATAATCGAATCTGAACCGAGTGATTGACATCATGAGCATCGATTTACGCAACTGGGATGCGATGACATGCATAAACCAAGTCAGCGAGCCTGACCACCCGACCCTGTTAGTCGCCTCATAATTACATTACTCAACACGATGTCGAGGAGGTACAGTAACACTGATGTGTGTGAAGATTTTGATGACTTCACTTAAATCCTGAAGCCCATTTCTGGTGTCCCCCGCCGTGATATTGCTGGAATGTTGCTAAAAGCGGCGTAAAACCATACTCACTCACTCTCTTTCCCTGCCCCCAGGAGGCCAAAGCCGCTTGAAACAAGATCCAGAAGTCTCTGTGCTGTGTATACTGACGGTGGAAAAAGGATGGTGGTAAAACCTATAAAGACCCTCACAGCTATTATTTGACATTTCCACGTTGTTAGCTAGGCTTTGAGCCTGTTGTCGTTTCTGTAACAATATTCTCCAACAGTCCCATTCCGGGGGGTGGGGAGAAGGAAGAGAAGGAGGGAGGGAAGGGGGTGATCCCTGGCGGAATGTTCATGTGCTGTAACTGTGCCATCTTTACGCGACCTTGGCATCAGGTTTGTTTGAAGTTCGGGCTCTATTCTTGCTCTTCCCACTGAAGGTGTTTGCCCTCGATGATGACACCAGATAACACCCCTCGCCCTTGAGCGCCTGAACACACACGTGATAACACCTGAGTATTACATAAAACATATCTTGAAAAAAAAACATTTTGAGAGAGTGCGAACCTCTGAAGATGCACAAATACTCCCCGGTGAAGAGGAAACATGTACGAGATGCTGTCGGTGCTCACATGGGGCTTAGCGCTTGGTATGTGGCACATGTGAACACAACACTACAACAACACAACACAGGCCAAGTGCTGGAAAAAAGGTGTACGTGAGCCTTTTTTCGGTTTAATTCAGACATATTTTCTCCATCAATGCCAACAACGTAGCAGCTTTTGGGTCGTGTTTCAAGCGGATTTGGCATCATCTGGCATGAATTAAGGGAAGATAGCGACACGGAAACATCTGTGTGTCCTCGTGTGCTGGACGATGTCTCCTCCTGTAGCTATACCTTCTGGACGTCGTGTAGTAACTTGTTGGTATACCACAGTGGCATCAAACATTGCCCACGAAATTAATGTCAAATCTTATGCACAACAAAACAAACTGCAATGTAAGTTCAATATTCCGGTTATATACACAAACATGTACAGCTATACAAACATATACAAGTATGTCAGGTGAACAAGTTACACAAACATGTACAGGTATGTTAGGTGAACAAGCTGCACAATCATGTACAGTATGATAGGTGAAAAAGCTACACAAACATGTACAGGTATGCTAGGTGAACATTCTACACAAACATGCACAGGTATGCTAGGTGAACAAGCTACACAAACATGTACAGGTATGTCAGGTGAACAAGCTACACAAACATGTACAGGTATGTCAGGTGAACAAGGTACACAAACATGTACAGGTATGCTAGGTGAACACTCTACACAAACATGTACAGGTATGCTAGGTGAACACTCTACACGAACATGTACAGGTATGCGAGGTGAACAAGCTACACAAACATGTACAGGTATGTCAGATGAACAAGCTACACAAACATGTACAGGTATGCGAGGTGAACAAGCTACACAAACATGTACAGGTATGTCAGGTGAACAAGCTACAAAAAGTAACATTGAAGATATGTCAGGTGAACAAGCTACACAAACATGTACAGATATGTCAGGTGAACAAGCTACACAAACATGTACAGGTACGCCAGGTGAAGAAGCTACACAAACATGTACAGGTACGTCAGGTGAACAAACCACATAAACATGTACAGGTATGTCAGGTGAACAAACCACATAAACATGTACAGGTATGTCAGGTGGAAAAGCCACATAAACATGTACAGGTACGTCAGGTGAAGAAGCTACACAAACATGTACAGGTATGTCAGGTGAACAAGCTACACAAACATGTATAGGTATGCCAGGTGAACAAGCTACACAAACATGTACAGGTATGCCAGGTGAACAAGCTACACAAACATATACAGGTACGTCAGGTGGAGAAGCTACACAAACATGTACAGGTATGCCAGGTGAACAAACCACATAAACATGTAAAGGTATGTCAGGTGAACAAACCACATAAACATGTACAGGTACGCCAGGTGAACAAGCTACACAAACATGTACAGGTATGTCAGGTGAACAAGCTACACAAACATGTACAGGTATGTCAGGTGAACAAGCTACACAAACATGTACAGGTATGCGAGGTGAACAAGCTACACAAACATGTACAGGTATGCGAGGTGAAGAAGCTACACAAACATGTACAGGTATGTCAGGTGAAGAAGCTACACAAACATGTACAGGTATGCCAGGTGAACAAACCACATACACATGTACAGGTATGTCAGGTGAACAAGCTACACAAACATATACAGGTATGCGATGTGAACAAGCTACACAAACATGTACAGGTACGTCAGGTGAAGAAGCTACACAAACATGTACAGGTATGTCAGGTGAAGAAGCTACACAAACATGTACAGGTACGCCAGGTGAACAAACCACATAAACATGTACAGGTACGCCAGGTGAACAAACCACATAAACATGTACAGGTACGTCAGGTGAAGAAGCTACACAAACATATACAGGTATGTCAGGTGAACAAGCTACATAAACATGTACAGGTATGCTAGGTGAACAATCTACACAAACATGTACAGGTATGTCAGGTGAAGAAGCTACACAAACATGTACAGGTATGCCAGGTGAACAAACCACATAAACATGTACAGGTACGTCAGGTGAAGAAGCTACACAAACATATACAGGTATGTCAGGTGAACAAGGTACATAAACATGTACAGGTATGCTAGGTGAACAAGCTACACAAACATGTACAGGTATGTCAGGTGAAGAAGCTACACAAACATGTACAGGTATGCCAGGTGAACAAACCACATAAACATGTACAGGTATGTCAGGTGAACAAACCACATAAACATGTACAGGTATGCCAGGTGAACAAACCACATAAACATGTACAGGTATGTCAGGTGAAGAAGCTACACAAACATGTACAGGTATGCGAGGTGAACAAGCTACACAAACATGTACAGGTATGTCAGGTGAACAAGCTACACAATCATGTACAGGTATGCGAGGTGAACAAGCTACACACACATGTACTGGTATGTCAGGTGAACAAGCTACACAAACATGTACAGGTATGCGAGGTGAACAAGCTACACAAACATGTACAGGTATGTCAGGTGAACAAGCTACACAAACATGTACAGGTATGCGAGGTGAAAAAGCTACACAAACATGTACAGGTATGTCAGGTGAACAAGCTACAAAAAGTAACATTGAAGATATGTCAGGTGAACAAGCTACACAAACATGTACAGATATGTCAGGTGAACATGCTACACAAACATGTACAGATATGTCAGGTGAACAAGCTACACAAACATGTACAGGTATGTCAGTTGAACAAGCTACACAAACATGTAAAGATATGTCAGGTGAACAAGCTACACAAACGTGTACAGTTATGTCAGGTGAACAAGCTACACAAACATGTACAGGTATGTCAGGTGAACAAGCTACACAAACATGTACAGGTACGCCAGGTGAAGAAGCTACACAAACATGTACAGGAACGTCAGGTGAACAAACCACATAAACATGTACAGGTATGTCAGGTGAACAAACCACATAAACATGTACAGGTATGTCAGGTGGAAAAGCCACATAAACATGTACAGGTACGTCAGGTGAAGAAGCTATATAAAAATATACAGACATGTCAAGTATGAACATTTCAGTTCCGAGGTTCTAGGCCATCAGGTATTCCTGAATCAGCTCTGCTGAGCAGACGTTTGTATAGCTATATGCTGTGACTGCATCAACCACACGAACGTGTTTTTTCAAAGACCCTCCCTCATGGAGAAAGGATGTCTTGCCCGTCCAAACATTCCAGGCACTTTTAAAATAAGCACTGACTACCTGATGCCCTAATGATGGGTAAAGGGCATCCGATCTCCAACAAGAAAAACAGAGGCAGAGAGCTGTGAACTTAATCACTCAGCTCCAAACAACTTGCTTCCAATTTAGGGCAGCAACAACAACAAGCCCGATGAGTGGATTGAACACTTCAGGAATATCTGAAACA